ATCAATTCTTACATAGACTCTTGAAACTTTGTGTAAGATTAGAAGTTGAAAATCAATTTAACCTATAGATGAGAGATCGGTAACCTTTGATGCTGTTATTCCTATGATATGGTACGCTACTTTTAATGTTGTAATTGTAAGTCACAAACGGAAAACATCGTGCCCATTCCCCTATACTCCCCTGCAATCATCTTATAGAGAGTTTTGACATTGTTTATTTAACATTAACCCATGGTTTTAACAACACATTTCTTTTTCATATAGTTATGACTTGTTTGTAAGATATGTTAGTATCTTCTAGAAAATATGATAAATGATATTGTAAATACCTTCACCACATGAAGTGCTTTGCGCACGCCCTCATCATTAGCCCACAAGGAAGTTAGCAAATCATTATACAGCTGCAAAGAAAAATGGTTTAGTAACATTACATACGAAGAAGATGAATATGAAGGCCAAGATGGATCATTTACAACGCAAACGGGATATGAAACCGAAGGATTTGCAGGGAGACGTCCTCTAAGGCATGTTCTTAGGACATCATTTGGAGATAAAAGTGTCGACAATTCAACATCGCATGATGGTTTTAGAATATGTTCCTTATTTAAATTAGAAGTACACTGCAAATAACATCAAAATATTGAATAGTCCTTAGTCTATACTAGGAATGGAATCCTGAAATGGTGTGGCGAAATGTTAAACCAACATGATAGCTCATAGAAGGCTTGAAAACAAATACACATGTTACAAAGTTGAAACTAAAAAAAAATTCTTAAAAACTGAAAAGCACTTCTTAGTGTTATGTATAGTACAATCTTTAATGTCTTTACCGAGATTTACTATTTTCCAATCTCGTCCTAGACGGTGGATCGAGTATAAAATGAAATGCAGACAATAACTCATAGAGATTTTACTGCTACATGTTCTCTACTCGTTACTCCACCCATACCCGTCTCTAATAAAAGGTACGCATGACTATCGAGTAGGATATAGGAAATTATAACTTTATTACCCGTGGGTAAAGGTCGGATATCAAGTATCATTTATATTTTAACTATGTGTCTCACTACTCGCTCCATTACTCGATTTGTTATCCCACCCATAAATATTCACCATTTATACCACTAATAAATTGTATGGTATATAGTATAACATTTGAAGTTTATGTATTGTCATTAATATATTTGCTTATATCCAAGAACGCCTCAATC